CAATATTAAAAAAACCTGGAGCGGTCCTCGTTTTTTACGACATAATCCCGAAACCGCCGTTTTTTCTAATAACGCCGCCTCCCCGAAATAAATAATAAAAACCGCCATCAATACGGCCACGTTTGCTTTGCCACATTTGAATTTTTGCACGATGTCACGTCCGCGTATTTCAGCGGAATTACATCGATTCCTCAAAAAAAGCTCCGATTGTGTGCGAGCTTTCGCCAGATTTAATACAGGAAAATTGCTTGTCAATGCCAGGAGTCGAGCTTTTGTGCTTTTTTCCTAATTATCGCAAATATTTGAGCCACTGATAAATAATTTCGATGCGCGATCGATTCTTACTCAATTTAGGCTCCATAAAAGCGCGTTATTATGGAAATTGGAGGTTAGTAATTATTGTTCGACACGTGCCGAGCTAGGAAATTGCTTCACGACAATCAATGCGAATAAGAAGAAAGCTGGCGGTAATTAAAATCACGGTGGCGGCGAGGGAGCGTAGGCGCCTCCAGGGACGACGTCGGCATATTTTATTCAAGTACGGGCCTGCTTTATTGCCGCTTGTTGTGAGTGGACGGAAGAGGAAAAGTTCGAAATGGCATTGTCGGACGGCCGAGATGGTTCATGCTTTTCGGGGGTTAATGTTTTACGAGTGGCACATTTTGAATAATAAGGGGCTTTTAATAAGGGAGATATTTACTTAATTCTGCCGCAAAGGTCTCGCTTCGATGAACTTGTATCGAGCAATATGGGCTTTCGACTCGTAAACAGAGAAAGTGGCGTAATATTGCATTCCCACGGGGACGGATTTTAATATCTGTCTAGCGATGTATCGAAAAAAGAAACGGCGTGTACTGGATCCCGTTGGGTTAATATCTACTGTAAACAAATAACAGGTGAACTTTGGAGGCACGATCGGTATTAATATACAGATTATGAAGGGTTTTACGACGTACATTTTCAAGGAACGGAATCTTACCTCGTTTCCGGATTTTTTTTTCAGTTTTTCAGGCGATCCTTTTGTTAGGATTTTGTAGCCGTTGCAACTAACGCAATCTCCTTTCCGGCTGAAAATTACCAATTTTGTCCGGAACAAATCAATGAAATGGATTTTCTACCAAGAATTCTGCGATTCAGACGTTCTCCGGATGGTGGCCGTTGGATTTTTAGGGCCAACGTTGGAGGAGCCGGAGGCAGCTCTAAATTTGAATATAGAAATTTTACTTCCCAAGCGTAAAGTAACACAGTCCTGATTTTTCAGTTTTTCAATTTTTCGATTTTTAACAATTTTTGATTTCTGAATAAAAATTTTCCTTACATTTTTAATTTTTTATTCTCCCAATTACATAAGTTAAAAATATAAATTATTAAATATGTACACTTCCGAAAATCTTCTTCCATAATTCTTCCATAAGTGTTGTTCTGGGGGATAACCAAGCGTGCTGTGCATTGGGAATTCTTAACACTATTTGTTCAACAATAGGAATTAAAAAGATTACGTATTTATTGTAGTAACTGGACTTTCAGATACTTTTAGCATGGCGGAAACGTCTAATTAGTCTTCTAACATTTTGCATAATTAAGTACATATTTGAATTATGAACGTTCTTGTACTATATTGCACTAGATTCCACTAAATTATATTTTAGTAGTGTGAAAATAGGAGATTTTTGAGTGTACAAAGAAAAAACTAATTTTTAACCGGAATTTCCATGTGTGTGAGTGCTAGAGATTTTTTAATCAAACAGATTGATAGAAAACGGAGTAGTTATGTAGTGGGGGTTCTATGACAGTTTGACCTCGTTTGACCTGTTCTAGAACCTCCAATACTTTCTGTCAAGAGGTTATTGACCTGTACTAGGACCCCCGACCGACTATCTGTATGTCTGCCGTCTGTCTGGATTTTTATTAGCTACTGGCCCCACCCACCCACCCTCTCTTTTCTTAGAGGTAATGTCATTTGCCAAAATCAGTTTTATCTTAGCAAATACTAGCCCCGCCCACCCACCCTCTCTTTTGTTGGGTTTGAGTTTAAGACTGATTTTGGCAAATGAGATACCCTCTAAGAAAAGAGAAGGCGGGTGGGCGGGGCTAGTACCTGCTAAAATATTTTATACCAATTTTGGCAAATTTTGTTTGTTCAAATGGTAAGACGCTAATCACAATTTGTCTGTTCGAACGTCGTCCCCCAAATATAAGAGTACAATTGGGGGCAAAAATGAAATGGAAAAATTCCAAAACTGAAATGTCGAAAAATTTTAAAAGCAAAAAATCGAAACACCGAGATATCGAGTAATGGAAACTGAAAAATAGAAACATTGAGAAATTGAATACATATCCAAAATTTAGAAGATCGAAAAATTTAAATATGGAAAAACTTAGTCACAAAATACAAAAATCAAGAAATTAAAACGTCAAAAATCGAAAAATTGAAAATTGTAAGAACTTATACTTAAATAATTGAAAAATTTTGAAAAATCGAAAAAGTAAAAAAATAAAAGCCTACATATCTTGCAAAACTAGTGGGCTAGATAATACTAAATAACTAAGGGGAAAATGTTTTTTGGAAAAAGGAATAACTGAAAAATCGAAATATCAATAAGTCGAGAAATTGAGAAATAAAAAATTTTTAATAATCGAAGAATTGAAAAACCGAGAAATCGAAATCCGAAAACTCGAAAAATTGACAATCCAGCACACGAAGCTAAAAAAAATTGAAAAATTGAAATGTTGAAAAATTGGGAAATTAAAACCTAAAAAATCGAGACATCTAACAACCGAAAAGTCGAAAAATTTTAAAAATCGAAAAGCCGAGGTGACAGGAAATTTGAACAGACGAAAAATGTAAAATTTAAAAAAAATCGAAAAATTGAAAAAAATACTGAAAAATCAAAATTTAAAAATTGAAAAATTACAATAACGGAAAACTGAAGAATATGTAGAAAAATTGAAAAGTCAAGAAATCGAAAAATGAAAAATTGAAAAATCTAAAATTTAAAAAAGAAATCGAGCAACTGCAAATTCAAAATTTAAAAAAATTGAAGAACTGGTAAACTGAGGAATCAAAAAACAAAAAAATCGAGAAATTGAAAAATTCCAAAACTGAAATTACGAAAAATTAGCAATTCAAAAAACTGAAAAATCGCAACACTGAAAAGTTGGAAAATCGAAAAACTGAAAACCCGAAAAGTCGAAAAACGGAAAAATCGAAAAAATTGAAACATCAGAAAACTAAAAAACTCGAACATTGAGAAATCAAACATCAAAAGATCTAGAAACCAACAAGTCGAGAAGACAAAAACTCGAAAAATCAAGAAATTGAAAAATCAAAAAATCTAAAACCGAGAAGTCGAAGCATCAAAAAACACCAAAAATTAAAAAATCGAAAAAAAAAATTGAATGAAAGAAATGAAAACCAGAAAAATCTGAAAGCGAAAATTCGAAAAATGAAAAGATTGAGAAATCGACACATCAAAAAAGCGAAAAATTTAAAATTTAAAAATTCGAAAATTGCAAAGTTACCAACATTGAAATGTTGAAAAATTGGGGAATTGAAAACTTAAAAAATTGGGAAATCTAATATCTAAAATTCGCAAAATTTAAAAAATCGAAATTCGAGACGTCAAGAAATGGAAAATCAAAAAATCATAACATCGAAAAATTGAAAAAACGAAAAATGTAAGATTTTACCAACATGGAAAATTAAAAAAAAAATCGACAAATCAAAAATTTAAAAAATGAAAAAATATCGAAAAATGAAAAACTGCAATTCGAAAAATCGAGACTAAAAATTATCTTCGAGGTAAAAATTTTAATGTAAAACCGTATATGTAAGTTATAATTAACACCACTAAAGTAGTGATTGATACTGATCAAAAAACTGAATAATCTAAAATTTAAAAAATCGGAAAAATATAAAATTGAGAAATCGAAAAATTGAAAATTTCAAGAACTTATATTTAAATTAATGAAAAATTGTGAAAAATCGAAAAAGTAAAAAATAAAAATCAAAAAGTAGAAATATTGAAAAATTCCAAAACTGAAACATTGAGAACCTGGGAAATGGAAAAATCGAAAAATCGGGAAATCCAAAAGTCGGATAATCAGAAAATCAATTAATCGAAAATTTAGACACATCATAAATTGAAAAAACAAAAAATTGAAGAACAGAAAACTTGAAACTTGTAAAATTAAAATATCAGAAAATTGAGAAATCATAAATTAAGAAAACGTCTCAAACTTCGAAAAATGGAGAAATTGAAGAATTGACAAACTGAAAAAAAACTGCAAACTCAAATTATGAAATATTGGGAAAATATGCAGTTAGAGACTTGAAAAATGATCTTATTTTTCAACAGTTTCCTGAGAAAGAAAAGTTAAAAAATTATTACTGAAACACGAACATGTTTCATCTCAAGACGTAATCGAAGACTAAAGACTGAATTTTTTTTGAGAGAGATTTTCGAAAATCTTTAATCAGCGTTTGTAAGTTCTAAATTATTACTTATCATACTTTAATGAAAAAATAATCGTTTTCTAGTGTTGGAAAATACAAAAACGATTATATACAAAATATTATTAAACACTTCTTAAAGTCACTACATTTCAAGGGAATCTACCCAACACAATTTTAAAATGACGTAATATTTTTTTGCAGATGAATGGAGAATTTTTAATTCACAATTTCAAGGCCCTCGAGTCAGTCGCTTCGTAATTTAACATTTGACAATGTCAACAGACAAAACAAAAATGAAAATAAAAATCAGGATGTAATTCTAGATTCTTTTTGGGCTTTGAATGTAGTTTAAATTTGTCACAATTTTCCCACCTCTTATGCTATCCTTATTCTACAAGAAATTATTTTAGGATTTGTAACCCTTTTTTAACAAAAATTTTCCTTGCATTTTTATTTTTTTTATTTTCCCAATTACATATATAAATTAAAAATATAAATTACTAAATATGTACACCGCCGAAAATTTTCTTCTCCAGTAATTCAGTTACCACCTGAAGGTTCCTCCAACGCTCCACGTTTCTGGTCCCATGTTCGAATAAGTGGCGCGGAAGTCGTGGTCTTCTCCCTTGCGTTCGAGTTCGATGTTGGCTCCGGTGTTTCCTTTGGCGTCTCTACCAACGTTGGGTTTGAAAACCCATTCGCCATCGTCGGGAGAGCGTCTGAACCGTTGGATTTCGACCGGAGAGTAAATTTCGTAGGCTTGTTCGGGATAAACTTCGTAGTGTTCAACGGGAATGGACGATGACACGGCTACAAGAGCCGCGACGACGAAAAAAATTGCAGTAGTTTTCATTTTTGGGCTTTCGTTCTTCAGTTTTCAGTGTTAGAAATGAACTGATTGAAGTTGAGAGGAATTATTCGTATTTATATTTTGTAGCGCGAGTGTTGTTCTCGGGGATAACCAAGCGTGCTGTGCAGTGGGAATTCTTATCACGATTTGTTTAACAATAGCTATTAAAAAGATTACGTATTTATTTTAGTAACTGGACTTTCAGATATTTTTAACATTGCGGAAACTTCTGAGTCTTCTAAAATTTTGCATAAATAAGTACATATTTGAATTATCAACGTTCTTGTAATGTATTGCACTAGATTCCACTAAATTACATTTTAGTAGTAGTGAAAATAGGAGACGATTTTCGAGTGTACAAAGAAAAAACTAATTTTTAACCGGAATTTCCATGTGTGTGAGTGCTAGAGATTTTTTAATCAAACAGATTGATAGAAAACGGAGTTAGTTATGTAGTGGGGGTTCTATGACAGTTTGACTTCGTTTGACTTGTTCTAAAACCTCCAATATTTACTGCCAAGAGGTTATTGACCTGTACTAGAACCCCCGACTGACTATCTTTCTGTCTGCCGTCTGTCCGAATTTTTATTAGCAAATGGCATACACTCTTTTCTTAGAGTGTATGTCATTTGCCAAAATCAGTTTTAACTTAGAAATTACTAGGCCCACCCACCCACCCTCTCTTTTGTTGGGTTTGAGTTTAAGACTGATTTTGGCAAATGAGATACCCTCTAAGAAAAGAGAGGGCTGGTGGGCGGGGCTAGTACCTGCTAAAATATTTTATACCAATTTTGACAAATTTTGTATGTTCAAATGATAAGACGCTAATCACAATTTGTCTCCTCACCAATAATGGAATAACGTCGTCCCCCAAATGTTACAGTACAATTGGGTGCAAAAATGAAATGGAAAAATTCCAAAAATGAAATGTCGAAAAAATCGAAACACCGAGATATCGAGTAATCGAAACTGAAAAATAGAAACATTGAGAAATTGAATACATATCCAAAATTAAAAACTTAGTCACAAAATTCAAAAATCAAGAAATTAAAACATCAAAAATCGAAAAATTAAAAATTTTAAGAACTTATACTTAAATAATTGAAAAATTTTGAAAAATCGAAAAAGTAAAAAATAAAAGCCAACATTTCTTGAAAAACTAGTGGGCTAAATAATACTAAATAACTAAGGGGAAAATGATTTTTGGAAAAAGGAATAACTGAAAAATCGAAGTGTCAATAAGCCGAGAAATTGAGAAATAAAATTTTTTTAATAATCGAAGAAACAATCCAGCACAAGAAGAAAAAAAAATTGAAATGCTGAAAAATTAGGAAATTAAAACCTAAAAAATCGAGACATCTAACAACCGAAAAGTCGAAAAATTTAAAAAATCGAAAAATTAAAAGAAATATTAAAAAATCAAAATTTAAAAATTGAAAAATTACAATAACGGAAAACTAAAGAATAAAAACATTGAAAAGTCAAGAAATCGAAAAATGAAAAATTGAAAAATCTAAAATTTAAAAAATCAAACAGAAAAATCGAGAAATTGAAAAATTCCAAAACTGAAATTACGAAAAATTAGCAAATCAAAAAACTGAAAAATCGAAACAGCGAAAAGTTGGAAAATCGAAAAATTGAAAACCCGAAAATTCGAAAAACCGAGAAAACGAAAAATTGAAACATCGGAAAATTAAAAAACTGGAACATTGAGAAATCAAACATCAAAAGATCGAGAAATCAACAAGCCGAGAGAAAAAAAATCGGAAAATTGAAAACTCGAAAAATCAAGAAATTGAAAAATCAAAAAATCTTAAACCGAGAAGTCGAAGCATCAAAAAACACCAAAAAGTAAAAAATCGAAAAAAAAACAATTTTAAATGAGAGAAATGAAAAACGGAAAATCTGAAAGCGAAAATTCGGAAACCGGAAAGATTGAGAAATCGACACATTAAAAAAGTGAAAAATTTAAAATTTAAAAATTCGAAAATTGCGAAGTTACCAACATTGAAATGTTGAAAAATTGGGGAATTAAAAAACTAAAAAATTGAGAAATCTAAGAACTAAAATTCGCAAAATTTTAATAATCGAAATCTGAGACGTCAAGAAATGGAACATCAAAAAATCATAACTTCGAAAAACTGAAAAAACGAAAAATGTAAGATTTTACCAACATTGAAAATTGAAATGTTGAAAAATTGGCAAGTTAAAAACCTAAAAAATTGAGAAATCTAATATCCGAAAAGTCGCAAAATTTTAAAAATCGAAAAATTAAAAAAAATATTGAAAAATCAAAATTTAAAAATTTAAAAATTACAATAATGGAAAACTGAAGAATAGAAAAATTGAAAAGTCAAGAAATCGAAAAATGAAAAATTGAAAAATCTAAAATTTAAAAAACAAACAGAAAAATCGAGAAATTGAAAAATTCCAAAACTGAAATTACGAAAAATTAGCAAACCAAAACACTGAAAAATCGAAACACCGAAAAGTTGGAAAATCGAAAAATTGAAAACCCGAAAATTCGAAAAATGGAAAAATCGAAAACCCGAGAAAACGAAAAATTGAAACGTCGGAAAATTAAAAACTGGAACATTGAGAAATCAAACATCAAAAGATCGAGAAATCAACAAGCCGAGAGAAAAAAAATCGGAAAATTGAAAACTCGAAAAATCAAGAAATTAAAAAATCAAAAAATCTTAAACCGAGAAGTCGAAGCATCAAAAAACACCAAAAAGTAAAAAATCGAAAAAAAAAAACAATTTTAAATGAAAGAAATGAAAAACCGAAAAATCTGAAAGCGAAAATTCGGAAACCGGAAAGATTGAGAAATCGACACATTAAAAAAGTGAAAAATTTAAAATTTAAAAATTCGAAAATTGCGAAATTAACAACATTGAAATGTTGAAAAATTGGGGAATTAAAAAACTAAAAAATTAAGAAATCTAAGAACTAAAATTCGCAAAATTTTAATAATCGAAATCTGAGACGTCAAGAAATGGAACATCAAAAAATCATAACATCGAAAAATTGAAAAAACGAAAAATTAAATTTTACCAACATTGAAAATTGAAATGTTGAAAAATTGGCAAGTTAAAAACCTAAAAAATTGAGAAATCTAATATCCGAAAACTCGCAAAATTTTAAAAATCGAAAAATTAAAAAAAATATTGAAAAATCAAAATTTAAAAATTTAAAAATTACAATAATGGAAAACTGAAGAATAGAAAAATTGAAAAGTCAAGAAATCAAAAAATGAAAAATTGAAAAATCTAAAATTTAAAAAATCAAACAGAAAAATCGAGAAATTGAAAAATTCCAAAAGTGAAATTACGAAAAATTAGCAAATCAAAAAACTGAAAAATCCAAACATCGAAAAGTTGGAAAATCGAAAAATTGAAAACCCGAAAATTCGAAAAATGGAAAAATAGAAAAACCGAGAAAACGAAAAATTGAAACGTCGGAAAATTAAAAACTGGAACATTGAGAAATCAAACATCAAAAGATCTAGAAATCAACAAGCCGAGAAGACAAAAAATCGGAAAATTGAAAACTCGAAAAATCAAGAAATTGAAAAATCAAAAAATCTTAAACCGAGAAGTCGAAGCATCAAAAAATACCAAAAAGTAAAAAATCGAAAAAAAAAAACAATTTTAAATGAGAGAAATGAAAAACCGAAAAATCTGAAAGAGAAAATTCGGAAAGCGGAAAGATTGAGAAATCGACACATTAAAAAAGTGAAAAATTTAAAATTTAAAAATTCGAAAATTGCGAAGTTACCAACATTGAACTGTTGAAAAATTGGGGAATTATAAAACTAAAAAATTGAGAAATCTAAGAACTAAAATTCGCAAAATTTTAATAATCAAAATCTGAGACGTCAAGAAATGGAACATCAAAAAATCATAACATCGAAAAATTGAAAAAACGAAAAATGTAAGATTTTACCAACATTGAAAATTGAAATGTTGAAAAATTGCGAAGTTAAAAACCTAAAAAATTGAGAAATCTAATATCCGAAAAGTCGCAAAATTTTAAAAATCGAAAAATTAAAAAAATATTGAAAAATCAAAATTTAAAAATTTAAAAATTACAATAATGGAAAACTGAAGAACAGAAAAATTGAAAAGTCAAGAAATCGAAAAATGAAAACTTGAAAAATCCAAAATTTAAAAAAATCAAACAGAGAAATCGAGAAATTGCAAAATTCCAAAACTGAAATTACGAAAAATTAGCAAATCAAAAAACTGAAAAATCCAAACATTGAAAAGTTGGAAAATCGAAAAATTGAAAACCCGAAAATTCGAAAAATGGAAAAATCGAAAACCCGAGAAAACGAAAAATTGAAACGTCGGAAAATTAAAAAACTGGAACATTGAAAAATCAAACATCAAAAGATCGAGAAATCAACAAGCCGAGAAGACAAAAAATCGGAAAATTGAAAACTCGAAAAATCAAGAAATTGAAAAATCAAAAAATCTTAAAAAACACCAAAAAGTAAAAAATCGAAAAAAAAAGTTTTAAATGAGAGAAATGAAAAACCGAAAGATCTGAAAGCGAAAGCTCGGAAAATGGAAAGATTGAGAAATCGACACATCAAAAAAGCGAAAAATTTAAAATTTAAAAATTCGAAAATTGCGAAGTTACCAACATTGAAATGTTGAAAAATTGGGGAATTAAAAAACTAAAAAATTGAGAAATCTAAGAACTAAAATTCGCAAAATTTTAATAATCGAAATCTGAGACATCAAGAAATGGAACATCAAAAAATCATAACATCGAAAAATTGAAAAAACGAAAAGTGTAAGATTTTACCAACATTGAAAATTGAAATGTTGAAAAATTGGGAAGTTAAAAACCTAAAAAATTGTGAAATCTAATAACCGAAAAGTTGCAGAATTTAAAAAATCTGAAAATTAAACAAAAATCGACAAATCAAAAATTTAAAAAATGAAGAATTAAAATATCGAAAAATTGAAGAATAGAAAAATTAAAAATCGATA